TGAGACGAGAACAAATCCACTTCTGCCTGGCCATAAAACTCCCATATTTGCTCCACCGCCTCGGGGTGGAGTCCCCTGGCCTCAGCCCCTGCCTCGACAGGGTGTCTGCTCCAATATTCTGGCCCCCCTGGAATATACACTGCCCTCAGACAGCGTAATTTCCTGAGGGACCAAAATAATAGGCCACCAACGTGTTGTCTGTGGGTCAAGAACCAGAGTTTCCTCCATATAACCAAGGCGCGGGGATACTGCCGCGTGATCTTGATCGTACGGAGTGGGTTTCCCCTCAGGGAGAACCCTCTGGTCCTGAGCCACCACTGTAAAGGTCTCACGTACAGCAGGTCAAAGGGTATCACATTGAACGCTGCTGCCCTGAGGCCTAACAGTCACTGTTTCAGAACAACACATGATGGCCCCTCAGGTCTGGGAGGAGATGTCTCAACGCATTGAAGACGACCATCATCTCTAGGCAATTCATGTGCCAAGCGAGATGATGACTCCTCCCAAGCCCTGAGCTGAGCGGCCTTCCAATACCGCTCCCCAGCCGGTGAGGGAAGCATCTGTCGAGATAGCAACTCGATGGCAAAGAGCTCCCAACACCGAACCCTGGGTTAAGAACCAGTGTTTCCTCCATATAACCAAGGCACGAAGGCACGGCCGCGTGATCTTGATCATACGAAGTGGGTTTCCCCTCGGGGAGAACCCTCTGGTCCTGCGCCACCACTGCAAAGGTCTCATGTACAGCAGGCCAAAAGGTATCCCGTTGGACGCTACTGCCACAAGACCCAACAGTCTCTCGAACTGTTTTACAGTGCGTGACTGGCCTAGCCTCAGCTCTTTTGTGGCTGTTAGGATAGCAGCTACACGAACGGGCGACAGAGTGGCCCGCATCGTCACTGAATCCCATACCACACCAAGGAAAGTGGTTCTCTGTACTGGAGAAAGCACACTCTTCTTGGCATTGAGCCTCAACCCCAACATCTGCATATGAGCGAGAACGACACCTCGGTGCCGAACCGCTAACTGTTCTGATTCCGCTAGAATCAGCCAGTCATCTATGCAATTCAGAATGCGTATACACTGCAGCCTGGCGGGGCCAGAGCTGCGTCTATACACTTCGTGAATGTGCGGGGTGATAGAGCTAGACCGAAAGGAAGTGCCTGATACTGGTGTTCTTTGCCCCAAAGAAAACCTCAGGAACCTCCTGTGCTGAGGGAGGATGGAGATATGGAAGTATACGTCTTTTAGATCTATCGTGACAAACCAGTCCTCGGATCTGATTTGAGTCACGATCTGTTTGAGTGTCAGCATCTTGGACTTGAGTTCCAGCACCAAACACTCCAACAGACGAAGATCTAGTATGTGACGCTGCTCTCCATCCTTTTTTGGAACAATGAGATAACGACTGTAAAGACCCGACGCAATGTCGGGTGAGTACACCTGCTCTATAGCTTTCTTTGCTAACAGGGCCATTACCCCTTGCTCCATTACCAGAGAGATTACCATTACCCATAGAGATATATTTGGCAGTAGCTTCCGCGCTGCCAGAAAATCTACCAAGGGAACCAGCCCCTCGAGGCTGGCCTCTGGTGTAATAAAGACAGCCAGTTCGGGGACCTGAAACATACTGGCAGGAACCACCCGAACTGACTGTTTTCGAACCCCCCTCAGAGGGCGCGAGTCCGACGCAATGTCGAGTTGACGCTGCGCCAGAAGCTCGCTGGAGAACGCTGCGCCCCGAAGCACCAAGGGTGGCGGGGTTGGCAGAACGGTCCCCTGAGGGCACAGAGATGGAAAGGGCACCGTATAATGAGGTGTACACCATTCCACCCCGGTTGGGGCTGCCCTCACCGGTCTGACGCCGTGGCGCCAGACCTTTTCTTTTGAGCCGCAGCCTTCTCAGCATGAAGAACGGTCCTCGGATCCGGCTTCTGCTTTGAAGGCTTTGGCTGCTGTGTTGTGTATGAGAAACTAGCCGGCTGGAGCTGCTCACGCCCAGCAGCCCCAGTGGGTTGGACATAGCGAGGGAGAGATTATCTAGTATCTTTCTCCATGATTCCCATCAAATTGAGCCAGAGGTGTCTCTCAGTGACCACATTTCTTTGGCTGCCATCCCTGAGAGATAAATCTGAGGCCCGACGGAGTTCTCAAACCCCATCGGGCCAAACTCCCTCACTTCTGCCAAATACCACAGCAGGTCAGCCTGATATGCTTGCAGCACTGCTATAGTGTGCAAGCAGGCTCGTGCTAGACCCACTGCCATATATGCTTTTCCCACTAGATTAAAAAATAGTTTTCTTTAATGGTTTAGTGAGAGAAGCCGACGCCTTCAGGGACGATACTGAACCGGGAGACATAGCTCGCAAGTGTCTGTTCTACCCGGGGTATTGCCCCATAGCCATACTCTCTTAACCCCCAAATATCTGAATATACATGAATGTGGGGCTAAAAAATGAGTAAGGCTTTTTCCATGATCTAGACAGCTCGCTGTGCAGATCGGGAAAAATGGAAGGCCCCGTGATGGAGGTGGAAAAATAGAGAGAAGGAAACTCGTACAATTTATTTTAAGGACGAGTGCCCCCTTATTTCTGCTGGCCATTCAATATTTAATTTATCTACAGCCTTAGTAAACACCTCCACCAGCTTATTATTATATATATATATATTTTTTATATACATTCTTTATATATATACACTTTATTTTATATATAATATATAAACTATCATATATATATATATATATATATATAGGCTATATATAATTCTCATACGCTGGGGAAGAGATGGCAAATCCACTTCCCCCATGATTGTGTACACTTTCAATGCCCAGCACATCTACCTCCTCGGAGGTAGAGCACTGAAGCATTGATTTCTCTCCCCGGGCGGAAGAGACCGCAGCGCGGGCTTCCGAGACCGGAGAGAGAGCACTGGATCCCTCGTGGAAAGGGAGGAGATAAGATCCGCGGACCCGTCTCCAACCCCGTAACGAGATCCTATTCGCGATCCACAGGAATGCATTCTCCGCGCTGCCTCGGCAGACGCGTGTCCTGCACCCCGAGGATCGCGAGCCTGGCCACTTTCCTCGAAAAGTGACAGGCGGGAGTGGAGCATGCGAAGCGAAAGCTTCTCACAATGTTGCAATCAGCCCCCTCGGAGGCTGATACCGCATGCTCCACTCCCAAACAAACTACACAAAGCTCGTGTGTGTCCCCACCCGTTAAATAACGCGGGCAGGGAGAAGCACAGAGTTTGTAAAGTTGTTTCGCCATAACTCTTCCCAATAATATCGAACAGACAACAATAAATAGACAGAGACAGAGTAACACAGATCGCTTGCTGAGACACAGAAGCTAATGCCGCGTTTCACCGGATGTGCTCTTATGCCTTCCTGGTCATGACGTCACCCGCCCGTGACGCTCATTCTTTCCATTGGACTAGTTGACATTGGTGCTCAGACGCATTCACGCTGGGGGCGTTCCCAAAGCGTCAAGTGACGCATCGCGAGTTCCCTCGAAAGGGAACTGAAAAGCGTCACATTAGATAGTAACATTAGTGTAAGTGAACAGAACTGTTTCTAACATTTCTACAACACACTCACTATGGTACTGTGAACTCAACACTACAATGAACTGAAACAATACATAAATTATATGACGTTACGATTAATTCATCCCAGAGCAAATGTCAGTGTTCTTACTGATCTTCAACATGTTAATTCATAAAAACGTGTCACAGTTTAATTCACTTCATGCACTTGTCAAGGTTTATTTAATGATTTGGATAAGGACAAAAACACTGCTTGGGTCCCCTCTGGATACTTGTGTCTATTATAAATGACCCAATTTCCATAACAATTGCATTTAAACGCATAAATGCTCAGAAAGAAAAGTGTCAATAACACGTGATTTTAACTACCTACTGTAACTTGGTACCAACACCAGGCTAAAAGGAATATTGCAGATTATTTACAACTTGTTATATGGACCACTTCTGTAGAGCCCTGCTGATTACCACCGACAATGATAATTTGAAAAATGAATAAGAATCACATTTACATACAAACATACAAATACACTTAACATGGAAGTCTAGACAAATGGGCCTGAACGTTTTAAAGCAGATATTGTATGTAAGGAATAAGGATTGTATTGCATCGTTAAAGAACTTTATTTAAACACGAAGTCTTCAGTTTAAGTCATCATAAAATTTAAATTCACCCTATTTATTTTATAAATGTTATTGTTATTGATCTTACTGTGAAAAGTACGTCCATGCATAATTGCCAACACTTTCTAGCAAATTGTCTGCAAGCTTGCATTCAGTTCTCTCTCCATTCAAACATAACCAATTAATTTAATCAAATCCACAGTGATTTTTTTATTTTATTTTCAATAATCCATTTAATTAGGATGTAGTTCACAACAAATAAGAAAAGATCTGTCAATAATTACATTTCATTGCAACAAAGGTTTTTTTTTACTTGAGTTGTCAAGTTGTTTAAAATTAGGGATGCACAATTTATCAGCACCATATTGGTCACTCTCCAATATTTGAGATTTTTTTTTAATTTATTGATATTTGGATATGCTGTATATCAGTTGATATTGTAAATGTATGTTCCGTATATTTACATTTTGCTAAAAAAATGCTCTTTATTGCTAAATGAATATCCATTTTTCATATTGTACCATGTAATGTTGTGATGACAAAAATCACTTAACCTTTAAAATGATTGATTTTAGTATTTAGGTTTTTATATTTATTTTAGAGAAAATACAAGCATTCAAAAACTCTTAAAATATTTTGTGAAGTTTATCGGCGAAAATTTTCAAATTGATGCATTCCTAGTTACGGTTACACTTTTGAAACCGTGTCACAGATGTATATTGTAAACACGTACATCATGTGATGCTGCCTTTTTTCACATTGAGAAAACAAACCTGAAACACCAAAACTGCGCAAATACAGTTGATGAATAGTACATGAACACTGTAACTCACCCCTCTCGCTGTGCTTCTCCTCTTTCCAGTTCCTGAATGACCCCCAGCAGCACTTTGATGGTTTCTTGACTGGAGCTGATCAGAGCCTCCATGGCTTGAAGCCTGGCTTTCACATTACCATCGGCCCCGGGGAGAGCAATCATCTGCCCCCTTGTGCCCTGCCTGGTCTCTGTGGTGCCAGACTTTTGGCTACTGTGACAGTGGGCATGTATGTGGGCCTGGGAAGCACAGCTCGCCGAATGAGGCAAAGCCTGAGACTGCCCCTGCAATCCGTTCAGCTGTGCTGTGTCTTTTTTGCGTTTGCAGCTCCCTGAGGGACTCTCCAGGCATTCAACTTGTGTCAAAGACGTCCATGCAATAGGGCCGGAAATCTTTGAACAGTCACCCCTGACCTGCAGAGGTTGAGTCGGCGTGGTTGAGGAGGCACAGTTGGGCTGCTGGCCTGCCCCTGCCTCGCTCTCACTTGATAATCCTTTGTGCTTGGCCCCACTCCCCGGGATGTTGGCGTCTCTCCTTGAGTCCGACTGATCAGAGACCGTATCTAATGGATCAGGGCAGGGTTTTCCATCCGAGCAGTCTAGCCCGGCGCATAAGTCCTTTGCGTCGCTGCACTGCGGAGTAGTGTGGAGCAACACTCGGGTCTGCTGCACCCGTCCGTCGCACCTTTCCGCTCGCTCCCCACCCTTCACGTCACTGAGAAAGCCGTTGTTTTGACCCGGGTAGTTCTCCACCAGAGCGGTGTGTTTGATGACGTTTCCCTTCTTGCGCTCGAAGGGGAAAGTCTGGTAGCGCTTTTTCAAGTCGGGTGAGGTTTGCACACCTGTGCTCTTGGTGACATTCGGGATGGAACGGCGTGCCGGCATGGTCATGTACCTCCGGTGGATGACCTTGCAGGAAACAGAGTGGTTTCTGGCACCTCGATGGGCGGCCTCATTCTGCGCCTCGCAGATGTCTTTAAAGCGCACCTGCAGGGCTTTGTTTCGCTTGCGTACCGAGTCTGCTCCGCTCTGTTCCAGCGAAGGCCCGCCAGACTCCGAGTCAGACTCTGAGCTTGACAGAGTGCAGCGGCCTGCCTCCTTACTGACCATAACTCCTGCGAGAGAGAGAGAAAGGGAGAGAATGAGGGATGGCAAGATAGTTTACAGTTAATAAAATGGCAGTGATTGCAGCTCAAGCACAGATGGCCTAGTTTTGTCTTTTCCTCAGCGCACAACATCCTGGCAGTCAAAGCAATTTTTTCTTCTTTTTTTTTTGTGCGTCTGTGTTTTGTTTAGCGGTGGAAGTCACAGCTGACACAGAGTGACCTGCATTCAAGCTCTCTCATTACAGTAAGGCTTCATCTCTCTAATGAGGCTGCCAGTACATGGGAGATGGGGGGTAAAGCACTGCCAGCAAGATGAGCAGGGCCTTTGAATCATCATATATGAAATATAACTCAACACTTGATGGCAAATACAGACACGCAAGAAAACATGACACCTGAATTAAGAGGAACAAAATGGTGTAAACACATCAGCAATCAAAGATGTGTGTGGAAGTGCAGGGAAAAGTGTGATGCACAGAATTTTTCACTGTTGTCTCTTTTTAGCAATTTGGATGAGAATAAGCTCCTCATGTACTGAAAAAGCTAATGGATGGTGTGTGTGCTAAAAATTCTGCTTTACCAGTTGGTGGACTGTGAATAATTTGCCAGTTTGCTTTCAATTTCAACTATGGCTGTGCAAAACTCACTGACAGTGCTTGGGTGAGTGGTTGCCAGGGCTGTGCTATACAGCTGCAAAAGTGTTCTAAGTGGTTTTGATGCATTGCTATGGTGTTCTGGGTGGTTCTGGGGAATTGCTAGGTGGTTTCTAATGTGTTATGGGTGGATGCCAGTGGTTGCTTGCTAGTCCAAATCAAAAATAGGCACTCCTCTAAGTGATATAGAGGGTCGGTAACACTACTTTTGTGCAAGTTCCTTAACTTAGCATAAATAGCCACTAGGTTACAGCTTGCTTACTACTAAATATTTGAAGGCGGCACCATTAAACTTTAAAAGGAAAAAGTAGAAATATAACCCTGCGTATACAATAAATAAATACTGAAGTCTACGACCAGGAGTTACAGTTGGACTAAAACGGCAAACCAAATGGATCACATTCACATCAATAAGCTCATGTTTTCTGTGACAGACTTCAACACTTTAGATGATGTTGACTCTGCGTGCGTGCATACATACATATACAGTATAAATTAAGGTACTTGATGTTTTAAACTTATTTTTACTCACAGTAACTTTCCATTGAAATAAGTTTCCATTGAAATAATAACAGAATATATCGAATGTGCAAATAATTTTGAGAATATTCACACCTATAAATATATATATTGTGTGTGTGTGTGTGTGTGTGTGTGTGTGTGTGTGTGTGTGTGTGTGTGTGTGTGTGTGTGTGTGTGTGTGTGTGTGTGTGTGTGTGTGTGTGTGTGTGTGTGTGTGTGTGTGTGTGAACAAATAAGTTTAAAACAAACAGAATAAACTGAAATGCACAGGGGAAAATGAACACAATGAAAATGAACTGGATTTACAGTCTTGCTCAGAAAAGTAATAGCACAAATTGTTGTTCCTCAATAAACTGTACAATTTTAAATATCATTCATGTTAATAGTTTATTATTAACGATTAGGGGTTTGTTCTAATCCCCAACACCGTATATGAGCAATTCTAGCAAAGCACTGGTTTAAATTACAGCTCAACCCCATAACTCTGTTTAAGATTCCTTATCTCAGATCACCAAGTTCTAATAATGTTGTACACATTCCACGTTCACACAATTTGTAACATGCCACGGCTGGGCTATACGAAGTCAAATAAATGTTTCAGCATGTAGATAAATATAGTGCCAAGACTACTTCATTCTGTATCATATTCATTTCACTCAGCTGTTGTCCATCATTTACTATTAGTCATTGCAATGTCTGGCAGGCTCAGTAACAGGGAAGAATGCAAATGGACACCTTGTCATCCGTCAGGCAGCAGCAGTTTCTTTCGGTGTCTGATTTTCACTCCGTAAGCTTATCTGACTCGACAGTGATAACACTCATCCTCCTTGAGTCATTGAACTGCCCCTGCTAACGATTTAATCAGCATCTCAAAATAATGAGCCTGGTGTCCTGTCCATTTTTAGAGCTAATATGGTGGGTACTTTCGTCCAGGCTGCAGAATATGCAGTATATTATGGCAGTGATTGTCAAACAAGGTTAAACGTACCTCAGTCTGCTTCAGTCTGAGAGGAAGCTACTTAGTCATAGTATTGTCTAAAAAGGTTATGTAATGTAACAGAGTTGTTATTATTAACTACATCTAAAACTGTTATCCAAAAAAAAAATTTAATTAAAATAAATAAATAAACTTAAACTAAACAAAAAATAAAAAATGTTGCCTTGGCTACTAAATTACTACATGTAAATAAATACAAACTATAACTAAAACTGAAATAAAAATAAACAAACATTCTTTTAAAAAGTTTGACAAAATTACTAAAAATTCAACTAAAATTATATCTAATATTATAACTGAAAATATAACAATAAAAGCTAATTCAAACTATTAATAAAGTATTATATCGCTGTTACGTAATAATGTACATTTTAAAATATGAACTATAATGCTAAATGATATACAGTGGATTCAAACAGCAAATATTTCTGGTTTGGTATCAGTGTTGTGTGGTATCATAGGTCATTTTATGCCCCTCGATTTGCACTTTTGCAGAGCCCGCTGAGGTGTGGACTTCATGGCATTGGTGGACTATTACCCAGCAGGCCATGTGGCAGACCCAGAGGAGTGATGCAGGTGCCATTTGGTACAAGGCCAAAAAGGGTTTGTAACACTGTAGTTTGTGGTTTTCCAGATAAATGCTTTTAATACATACAATCACAATACAGAATTGTATTGTCTTGCACATGCCAACATCTTGAGATCTCTCATAGCATCTGCACTCCCACCAATCTCTGATTTATAGCACCATCTGTCCTTAAACAGATGGCGATTGCTGATTGATTCATTGATTCTGTAATTTAATTAAATCCACATGGTAGTGGCTCACCTGCGTCTCGTGAGTGCCAACTGAATCGTGAAAATGATTAGGACTGAAAACAATCTTTGGGTCATTTGTAAGTACTCACTGTGGTGTTCAGGGAAATGATTTTGAAATATCCTGGGAAGGCATTCAAAGCCACATAGAGGCAATTATTAAAACTAATGGTGGACACTTGTGCAACTGATTCTGTTTACTCTTGTGGAAGGTATTAATGGTCGATACCAGAAGACCCAGCAACACTTTAGTGTTGTAATCGTGTTTCTTGATGGCAGCAATTACTGTCATCATTACTGTCATCATCAATAATTTGCAGTGAATAATTCTCATCTCGAAGAGTACGCGGCAAAAATACATTGACATTATACATATAGAGACCGGAATCTTAAGGGGATAGTTTACCTAAAAATCTACATTCTCCCATCATTTACACACCCGGGTTATGTTTTTCCAGCCAATTACAATAAATTACGCTTCAAATAGGACCCAACAGCACCATAAAATTATCATAAAAATAATCCATATGAACATGAATGAACCAGGTGGTTATTCACTGAAAATACTGACAACCGCTCTTGCTCTTCTTGGAGTGTTCATGAGAAAAGTAATGATGTCCATTTTAGGAAAGAATTACTTTTTGTTTCACAAAAGCTGTCTGAATGATTAATTCACAAATCAGACTGATCTGATTCTCAAGTTCAACTAGAGATTATCAGTAAAAAACAACTGAAAAAATAGCCTGACAGCCATGCAAAGCTATTGTATTGACTTCAGAAGCCTCGATCACCTTTATATGGTTAAAAGCCTCAGTTGTCATTCACTGTGATTGGAAAACAACTTGAAAATTCTTTCAAAATAATTTTTTTTGGTTTTAAACCGCAACTCTCTCACTCTCAGGGACCTTACAGGCACACACGCAGAGGTCCCCCTTCGACCCTGACAATTTGGCCACCGTCAACCCCAGGATTATGAGTAATGCATTGAATCTAAAATTGCAGAAGTAATCCTCTTAACTCTCCTCATGCACTTTAGCAGCATGTCAGTTCAAACAGGCCCGCTGCTCCTATTGAAAACGACTGTAAAAAAGGAACAGACTTAACTCTATAACTATAAGCATTTTTTTTTAGGTTTTCAGCATATTTATTTGTTAATTTAACCCACACTTTCATCCAGCTGTGTCCATGAATGGTTATCATATAGATATGTAAAGCTTCCAATGCTCTTCTTTTGGCAGGGGAGCCAATGTCCCAAACAATGTCTTGTTCAAAACATCATCTTACGTCCCTATTTAATGTCATCATATTCTCAGATGTTTCTTTGTGTTTCAGATCTCATTTATGCCTGCTTCAGTTTTTTAAATCCCATCAACTTGGAGCACAACCTGATGTACACAACCTCTATATTCTGCATTAAAGGAGACCTCAGATTTAGGGGTTAGTTCCACCAGGGAATTCAAATGAAAAATCTGTCCTAATCTCATGATTTTGGGTGGATAATAAGATTGGCTGTGGATTTGTGAGCTGATATGACTTTTTTTACCACAGAGATATAATTAGTATTCCTTTTACATCGCAGTGATATAACCGCACTTGCTGGTTTTATTGTTGTGTGTGCATCGGAAGCTTTATTGTGTGCTATTGTACTCAGCTGTTGTGTAAAACCTACAAAAAGTATTCATGTTTTGTAATGCAAATGAAGCATGATGTGTGAATGAAGCATTGTAACATTTAGCAGGGAAATGCTCTCTAATGCTTAGAGACAACATGGCCTATATATATATTATAAAATCATAAAGACTTTGTAGGCATATACTATTAAAACAAAATATTAAACTGTTATATATATATATTAAAATATAATTCATATCATACAATGGTTGTGTTTTTGTTATAATGATTATCTAGCCACGATTCTCTGTCAGACTGCTAAATATGAATTTGAATGTATTATGGTGGAGAATGCATGAATATTTTAGCCATGGTATTTCTAATATCACGCCTGGTTCAAACCATCAGTT